CGCTCCAAAAACATTAAATTAAAATAGTAGGGTTATGTATGTATAGGAGGAAACTGCAGATGATTCTACCAACGCATGCGCATATTCCAACAATTCCATAATGTTTAATACTTAATTCATAAATGTTGAAAGTTACCAACTTTCAAGGTCACGTTTTAAGGACTAAATTTATATCTTATGTATTATGGATACTTTTAAATGGGTACATTTATTTATTAACTTTTAACATTATGCTTAGATAATAAGATTATGGTTAAAGACTAAAATTATGTTTATGTCCGTTTATAAATCCGGCTTTACTTGTGTGGTTAAATTTTAAGAAAAATAGAAGGCATTTTTGTTTCTTACTGTGTGGCAGATCACATAAGTCAATATTATATATTTGTTTCTAGTGCCAAATGTCACTTGAAAATCAATAGTTATACTGGTAATTTTATTTTATTCTAGTTTATTCGGTGTAAAATGTAAAAATGTTTATTTCATGAAGGAGTGTTAATTTTATGTTGTCTTATTTCTAAATAAACCAGTTTTTACTTCCTCCTGAAAAGTAGAAAAGTAAAAGTAGTCTTTGTGACTTATATGCTTATTCACACTATACGCAGAATTAATATTGTAATTTTGTTCTTAAAATATTTAACTACGTTATTATTTAATACTGCTGTTTCTTCTTTTCCTTAAAAATACATTATTAATTAGGATTAATATAATTTAGAGTATGTTCCTCTGTTCTGAGTTCTGATTCCTTTACTGTTTTTTTATCCTGTTTTACCTATTTGTTCCATGAATTGGGATAAAAGAAATACTATCACAAATGAGAGTGCGCTTTAACCTTGGTGAGGCTATAATTCACCAGAGTTCAACAGGTCTCTGAAGCATCGCTTAAAGTAGCCCTTTCTCCCTTCTTTCATGTATCCCATGGAACCTTTCATACCTTAAAATTAAGGATTATGAAATCAAATACCTTCTACAACAGTTTTATAGCAATCCTTTGTTACAAATTTCAAAAACTAGGACATCTACCCCCTGACCAATCATAAGTTATTACCCGGACAATAAGACTAACCAAGATTTATAGAATAGAGAAAAATTCTAGTCTTCCGGAAAAAAACACAAAAATATATAGATAGAAAACAGTCTGGCATTAGTCCAGTCGTCAGAGATTTGGCCCCTAAAAATCATAAGAACAAGCTGAATTATGCTTAGAATATTAATTTTGGGATCTTCAAAAAGGGGCTTAGGGCTTTCCCCCAAAACCACTCTTTCAACGAAGTAAAAACGCAAAAAAATCGATTTATCAAGAATCTGTATACCGTAGAAAAAAATATTCTGAATAAAAAATGTAGCTGAGATAATTTTACACAAAATATTTATTAGCACTTTCTGCTTAGAATGAGTTGTTGTCTTAAAAACAACGCTTCAAGCGACCGGCGATTTTGAATGTCAGTTTTGCGCGCAAAATAAATTTTAAATAAAATTTGTATCAACTCGACGGTAAAAAACCGATATCTTTTAGTCAGAGTGTTCTGTCGACAAAAATCAATAGGTGTTTTAAAGGTGCCAATTTTATTTTGCCGCAAATGAAGTCAGTTTCTATAAAGCTGTTCAATAAATAAACTTTGCGCGATTTTTGCCATTTTTTACGATTCTCATGACATCAATAAAATTTATTACTACCATTGACCGGTTATAGTAATTTTTTAATTTTTGGAGACCAATATTCAATTTGGATTTTTGGTAACACATATGAGGCATTTGAAATATGACTAAAAACGCAGAATTTAAACTTTTACACTCTTACTTACATTACTTTTGCATTACATTTTACAATTTAAAGCAGAAGATGAGTACTTTTGAAAAAGGTACTAGTGTAATTAAAAAAGAGCAGTGTTAAAGATTTTAGATCTTTTGCAATGTGAAAGATCAAATTTAACGTTTTTAAGCGTATTTTAAATGCTTCACATTTGTTGACAAATGTGCCATTGATGTGCATTCGTACCATTCCCTCAACTTACGCAACCATGAGATTCTTCTCCTTCCTACACTCATTGTGTCCTGGATTTTTTCATGTATAATTAAATAAAATATGTTTTATCTTTCATTACGCATAAAATACTTCAGCTATTGTAGCTTTTATGTCTTGATGGTTTATAATATCTCCATTCATTTGTTAATTCTTCTCATGACTTCGTTGTTTGTTACATGTTCGGTCCATGATATCTTCAGAATTCTTCTATACACCCACAGTTCAAGTGCTTTCAAATTTTTAGTAGTCGACGCGTTAAGTGTCCATGCTTCTCTCCCGTAAAGCAGAGTTGAGAAAATATAACACCTTGCCAGCCTAACTCTCGAGTCTAATTTTAGTTCTCTTCACAAAGTACCTTTCTCATTTTCATTAAGTTTGTTAGTGCTTTCTATATTCGAACTTTTTCTTTGGACCAACCGTTTGTGTGATTAATCATTGTACCAAGATAATTGTAGTTTTCAACTTTTTCTAAAGTTTTACTGTTAGTGGTTAGGTTTTCATCATTATTTTGTGTTTTTGATACCCTAAATAAATAAATTAGGTTTTCTTGATGTTTATTGATAATCCATATTCTTCTCTATACTCATCTATCTTGTTCATTAGCTTGTGGAGGTTTTGTAGATTGTCTGCTATTATGATAGTATCATCCGCATATCTAATGTTTTTAATTGATCTTCTATTGACCTTTATTTCTGCTGTTTCTTCCTCAAGAACTTTTTCATAATTTCTTCAGAGTATGCATTGAATAGTAGTGGTGACAATACACACCGCTGTCGCAGTCCTCTTTTAATTTCGAACTCTTCTGTTCCGTGAACGATGTATGTTCGTTAAGGCGTATGTGTCCCTGTTGTTTATAGATTAATATAGATTAATAATACAGACGTTGTATATAGATTAATAATATAGATTTGTTACAATTAGAAGGTGATTTTATTGTAATTATTGTTTTGCTTTGAGGACGTCCATTAGCTCTTTGTGGCGAAATTTGTCGAAAGCTTTGTTGTAATCTATGAAACAGACGTACATATCTTGGTTCACATCCAAGCATCTCTGGATTAGTATGTTGAGTGCAAAGGGAACTTCACAGGTACCTACGCCTCTGTGGAATCCAAGTTGGGTTTCTTTAAAATCCATATCAAATATTTGGTAAATACCTCTCTGGATGACTTTAAAAAAATTTTAAGTATTTAAGACATTAGGCTTATGGTACGGTGGTCGGTGCATTCTCTAGTATTTTTCTTTTTTGGGAGACAAATAAATGTTGAGGTCAACCATTCATTGGGTATGTTACCCCACTGATAAATTTCATTAAAGAGCTTTATTTTTTTATTATTTTAAAGATATCAATGGGCAGTTGATTTGGCCCAGGGTTTTTTTCCGTTTCTGGTGTTCTTTAGTGCATACAATATTTCTTCCTTGGTAATTTTTATACTTGATTCTCTGTCCTCGTAAGATATATCTTGTAGGTTTTCTCTTTCGTCATCGAAGAGCTCATCCATATATTGTTTCCATCGTTTTAGCTTTTCGTCAGTCGTTGTTGTAGTATATCTATTTTTATCTAAAAGAGTTGTTGTTGTTTTGTTTTTCGCAGACCTTCCATTTCCTTAACCTTTTTATGTAGGTTGAATAGGTCGTATTTGTTCTGAAGACCTATCTCTTTACATTTTTCCTAAATAGTAAGTGTTATGTTGCCTCTGTTATTAATTTTCTGATTTCATTGATAACGATTTTGTAATTGTGACTTTCTTCGTTCTGGGCTTGTCTTCTTTGGTCCATCCTGCCGGGTATTTCGTCTGAACGTGGAGGCAGTTTTTTATTGTTTCCTATTGTTGGTTGAACTCGTAGCATCTAATGTATCAAAGATTTCGTATATTCTCTGTTTGAGTTTGTTTTTTATATCAGCTTCTTTCAATTTTCCAACATCTAATTCTGGAGTTTTTTGGGGATTTCTAATACGTTTAAGCTGAAGCGTGAAATTATCGATCAGTGGGTCAAGTTACGATATGGTGTTACGATATGTCTCTTTAATCATTATATAAACAATTTGGTTTCTTACCACTTTTTCCGGTTCATCTGCTGATGAGCGCCATGTATATAACCGTCTCATAGATAATTTAAAGGACGTGTTTCTGATTATTAGACTTTGTTCGTGACAGAATCGTAATAGACGATCTCGTCTATCGTTACGTTCCCCTAGTCCTTGATCTCCCCTTATTGTTCCAACTCTTCCCTTGCCGACTTTTGCATTAAAATCGCAAATAACTACCGCGAGTTCAACTGTTCTTTCTCATTTTCACTGCATCTTCAATTTATTTGTAGAATGTTTCTACTTCATCTTCTGTTGCATCCGTCGTTGGTGCATATACTTGGATCAAATTTAGTTTGGTGTGTGATGTCCTTATTTATAGTAGGTATTCTGAGTTAGGCCAGTATGTTTCGTTTACACCTAATATGTTTATATTTATTCTTCTTATTTTTTAAAGAATGTTATACATTTTACCAATTTATCATTACCATTTTACCATTTATGATGAGAATCATTAAAAATGACAAAAATCGCGCTACGTTTATTTATATAACACGTTTGTAAAAACAAATCATTTGCAGCAAAATAAAAAAGCTTCATACAAAATCTGCACTCTTTACCTATAAAACTAATACTTATTACTACATATTAAGAGAGCCATTAAGAAAATATATAATACATAACGCTTTATTTTATTCAAAGGCACAGAGCTAAAGAAAATAAGTTGTAAGCACATACGAAGCTTGGAATATGTGTCACTGCAGAGTTGTCGAAAAGGTAAAACAGCCATAAAAGAGCTTTTCAGAACGAAAGAACATAATTTAAAGAAAACTTACTACAAAACTTACTTTTAGACTTTTACAGACTTCCAAGAAGAATATTATGGAACATTTTATGCTCCTGTTACAAAGATGACAACTTTCAGAATGATATTATCTTATTTACTTCACAATGGTTGGACAATCACAAAACAAGACATACTTAACTACTGCATTTTTAAATAGCGTTCTGAAGTCAGAGGTACATATCAAGGCATCAGAAGGTTTAGAAACAGAAGGAGCAAAAATATATAAACTGATAAGATTAAGTCTCCTTGATGTTGGATTGAAAAATTCGACAACTTTATGAAGGAAAATAATTTTAATACAGGTGCTAAGACGTGGACTTTGTTATATGTAGATTTCATTATAAGAACAGGTGAGTTTAAAGATAAAGAAGATACGAAAAAATCGAGTATGTACCATACCGAGAAGTTTGTTGTGTATTTTAAGTATTAGCAGACCTGATATGTACTAATGGGTTTCATCCCTGAGTTAATTTCTAGATAAATATACTAGTCAGACAATGATAGATTATGTTTCAACCAACAGAGATATATATATCCATCGAAAATAATCGACGTAAGATACCTCATATCAGCAGATTTAGGTAGCAACCATAGCCCAGTATTATTTAAGATAAGAGTCATCCTGAAATACTTTACACCCAAGAGAGTAGCGCTAATATAAATACACAGAATATACAGAAAAATAATATCAGAGAAGATCGCTGGGAATGAAATATAAGATCACTATAACATCGAGGAAAGCTGGGAAATACTCAAAAATAACATAATTAACGGAGCAACGCAATACCTTGAAGAGAAAAAAGTAACAAACACTAACATATCAAGAAAAAAAAGCCTTTTTACAATACAGAACACAACAAACCCAACAGACATATAACAGCGAATCAGAAATGAAACGAATACTTTAGTTGGACAAATAAAAAGGGAGCACTGGCAAAGCTTCTCAAACAGATGGAACATGACTTCTAAGGAATATAAAAGGAAACATGGAGAATAATCAGAGAATAAAGAAAAGATATGAACGAACTAATGAAAACGAAACATATTGAAAGGGAAATATGGGTAGATTACTTTCGATCGCTATTTGCTAAATGTAGCGATAATGAACCACCAACACCAGAGGTGATGGCAAACGAAGAAATAAATGTTAAATAGTTAGAGCTAAAAGAATCATTAAGAAAATGAAAAATAGAAAATCCCCAGGAGAGGACAGAATACCGAAAGAACTCATAAATTACGGAGGACCAGATCTGACACAACTATTAAAACCAACCCAAAACATAATAGGGAACCTCTCTTCCTAATACCTCTTTTCAGAAGGGAGACCAATCGAACTTGGAAAATTACAAAGGAATTAATTTATTAACACAACATTAATTTGGTTAACGACCAAAGTAATAACAATAAACTGAATGAAATTAAAACACTAGCAGAAGAACAACAAGGGTTTAGGTCGTAAAGATCATGCGCCGACGTTTTATTTATAATGAAGCAAGTGCAAGACAAATCATTAGAATACAACAAACCGGCAGATCTATGTTTCGTGAACCTTAAGAAGACATTTAACTGGGTCAGATTAAAGGACGTTTTAAACTTATTGTACACAAGAGAGCTACCTCTAGAAATAATCAAAACGATCGAAAATATCTACCAAAACAACACAACAAAAGTACAACTGGAAGAAGAACTAACCGACTCTCTCTATTCAAGCTGGCAACAAATAAGACAGGAAGATTCCCTAACTCGTCGTTTGTTCAACCGGATTATGGATAAAATAATAATAAAAGTAAGAACTAAAAGAGGATACCAAATGTGAGAAAAACAATAACCATTAATTAGTAGTGTAGAAAAACATTGCCCCTCAAGTTAAATGAATTTTTTGTTAAAAGTACAACAACCGACCAACCTGGAAAGACATTCTGCTAAAAAATTTAAAGATACTGATTCGTTATCAATATTATATTTCTTCAGTTTTTGAGGTATGCTGAGATAACATAAATTCGTTAGCCAAACGATTTCCAGAAAACACTTATATCTTTGGTAGCTTTGGTCGGCAATGACCTGGTATTGGCTAAATATATTACATGGATTAACTTTAATTTATTCTATATTTTTTATACTAAATATTTAAATATATTCTATATCTTAATATATTTTAAAATTTTGAAACATTTTTATGAAACACATGCTAAATTATGTTACTCTTAGGGTCAGCCAAGGGGATATCCACCTCATACGAACCCAATGTTGTTTGATGATGACCCTGGAATTATGTCAGAAGTAGAAACTAGCTCAACAGGCTTTCGAAGAGGCGGTAAACAAAGAAGTTCGCTTCCAGTTGTTAGAACCCCAAGTAAAACGTTAGAGAGACCATTAGGTAAGCTATATATGATAACTGATTAAACATTACTCATAGATAATTAAAAGATACCGGCTGTGTAAAAATTGTATGTCCGTCATAAAAATTGTTAAAATATAATTACTAAATTCATAAATATTTTAATGAAATAAATTTCATGCTCTGATAATATGTGCTATTTTATTTATAGTCCAGGATATGACGGTGAACTTTTGTTTATATATGGTTAAAACGGTGGTTAAACAAGAGCTCAAAGATCAAAATCTAGTTACTCCACAGTCCTTGTGTCCCTTAATGCACATTTTATTTCAAAATTGGTAACCCATTATAAATGTCCAAACGTCTGTTAATATCTTGGTCCCTGTTATCTGAGAAGAGATCCTGCATAATATGTTTTCCATTCGTCATATATATTTTTTAATGTTGTCAGGACCCTATCATTCATGCCTATTAATATATCCAGCCATACGACTAATTATGATCTCTAACCAGTTCTTTTATTTTTTTGTAGAGAGGTTTGTCATCTTGTTTATTTTTTGTAAGTATTCTATTTCTTTACATTTTTCTGTAGACAACTTCTTCTTTGCCTCCACTATCTTCCCATTTGCCTGTGACTTTCTTTATCATCATCATCACTGGCTCTACAACCCTTTTTGGATCTTGGGCTGTTCCAGGATTCTTCTCCATTCTGATCTGTTTCGCGCTTTTTTCCTCCAGTTTTTTATTTTTAAGGTTGTTATATTATTTTCTATTTGTTCTAAGTATCTCAGCTTCGGTCTTTCTCTTATTCTTTTTCCTACTGGCATCTGTTTGAATATTTTGTTTGGTATTTCGCCTTCTTCCATTTTTTCTACATGTCCTATCCAACGCATCCATTGTATAGTTCAAAGTTCCTTCGCCAAATTCTGTTTTCTTTTGTTCACTTATATATACAGATTGAACCAAATTAAAACGGAACATACAATTTAATACATGTCTGTTTGAACTGCATTTAAAATAGTGGACCAATATAAAACTTGGACAAAAATAAATCCATACCTGGGTATAGACATTGTATAAAATATCGTTCAATTATCTGTCTCGCAACAAAGTTGTTTGCGTAAGACGGGTTTGTCTAAGGAGGTGATAATAGTTCAGGAATTGAAGCTCGAAAAAAGTTAAAACCTCGCAATTTTTTCGTCCTGCATGTATCCAGCTGAAATTTTAGCAGAAGGTAGGTAATAGCCCAAGGATCAAAATCTATATCGAACCGAAGTGAGCTGAAGGGTTTTAGGGGTGAAAACTACCCCTAATTGTCAAAAATTATAAAATAACATATTAAACCTGAATATGGGTAAGATTTGGTGTGAATTAATTAAATAATGATTATTTTATACTTTTGAATAGAGTTCCATCATATTTCAATTCTTAAAAAGCAACCCTTGTTAAAGATTAATGTAAAAAATTACTAATTCTAAAAAAATGATTTCGCCTTGTATCGATTTTGATAAAAATTTGGATTTAAGCTCAATTCACCCGCTGCCTTATAGTTTATGTCATGTCGACGAACCCTGATTGTTCTTAGGGGTGAAAACTACCCCTAATTGTCAAAAATTATAAAATAACATATTAAACCTGAATGTGGGTAAAATTTGGTTTGAATTAATTAAATAATGATAGTTTCGTGCTTTTCAATAAAGTTCCATCATATTTCAACCCTTAAAAAGCGACCCTCATTAGAGATTAATATAAAAAAATTAGTAATGCGAAGAAAATGATTTCACCTTGAAACGACTTGCATAAAAATTTGGAATTAAGCTCAACTCACCCTCTGCTTTATAGTTTATGTCATGCTAATGAACCCTGATTGTTCTTAGGGGTGAAAACTACCCCTAATTTTCAAAAATTGTAAAATAATATTACAAATCCTAAGATGAGTGAAATTTGGTTTGGATTAGTTAAATAGTGAGTTTTTTATACTTTAAAATACAAATTCATATAACTTTTCAACTTTTGAAAATCACCCTTTACAACATTGAAGTTTTTATAAACTAATTTATAAGATATAAATTGAAAAAAGTAGAATTAAATACAAAAAAAATTATCAACATAAAAAGGCACCATATATTCTTATACATTTACATAAATAGTTGAAAATATTTACATTTATAGGTAAAACAATTATAATATTAATTTTATTCGTCATCAATTACATCTTCATCGTGATCTATGTCATCATCATCTTCCTCAATTATTGGTGGACTGTTATTGCACCCTCCACCTGAGCACCCAGAACAAGTAGAGTTACAGTATAAACCAACTTTTCTGCACCCATATGAAACGCCGCATCCTTTTTTGCATTGACAACAAATAATTTTCAAAAATTTATCGGGTACAGGTTGTTTGTTCATGCGTACGGGTAATAACAAACCATCTTTGGAAAACCATCCCCAATCTGTTGCTCTGATATTTTCATTGCCAAGCCATAGACATATGAGCAGATGTTTTATTCTGTTGTATGGGATTTCAAAATAAGAACGCTTAAAATTTCGAATGTATAACGCCCCACTAGCTAATATACCGGTTTTGTAGATTATTATGCTCCGAAATGTACTGTACTATACTAATGGAATTTTCCGGAAAAAAATTAACTGGTTTTTTTAACGTATTTCCTTTAATTTTTAACGATAGATGTTTCTTCAAAAACGATTTGTAGAGGTTTTTAATAGCTACAAGGATCTGTGAATTAAATCTTTTTGGAACCCTTGGTTTTTAAATGGGGTGAGTTTAAAGGGCTCGAAAAAGATGGTGCTTGATCGTAAATCGATGCTTTTAAACGGCTATATCTCGCCAAATATTCATTGTACAACAAATCTAAATAAAGCATAATTTTAGTCATTAAAAAAGCTACAATTTGGTAATTTTTATTTTTTTCATTTATTCAGTATTTTCGGGCATATTTAAAAAAAGAAGGGTAAAAAATATGAAATTGCAAATCGTTTCTCGCTTTAAGCTGTACTTTTTCTAAAACTAAGCATTTTAAATGGGTCAAACTTCTTGGACGTATTAACAATACATCTACAAAGGGAATTGCAGAAGGGTGAAGATCGATTTTAATTATGGGGGTGGTTAGGGTGTTGTTTTCCTCGATTTTTTCGTAAAAAATGAGGTATTGACCATATTTTTTTATGATAGGTCTATTTATGCTCTTTAAAAAAGGTTTTGTGAGTTTTCTTCCAAAAATGCATCATTTTCCCGATATTTGACTTTGAATCTTTCAAATTTGGCATTTGAAGAAAACCGCTGAACATTGATATTGTATTTGTAATTGTATTTGTCTTTTTAAAAGCTACAAATTTGTTCTCTACAATTTTTTTGATAAAATGCACCATTTTCGAGTTATTCGCAAAAAATCGATTAAAAACGTGGATTTTTTCGTCTAAAAGTTATTACTTTCAATCGCGAATAACTTGAAAAATATCATTTTATAAAAAAAATGTATAGCACATTTTTTGTTTAGAATCACTTTTCTAATCGAAACCTGTAGTTAAAACGTAAAAAAAAATTTCACCCCGGAGATGGGGTGGCAACCACTCCCTTTGGCGCACTTTGGTTCGATATAGATTTTGATCCTTAGGCTATTACCTACCTTCTCTTAAATTTCAAGTCAATCAACGCCGCACGAAAAAATTGCGAGGTGAAATGCTACATTTCCTGGACTATAACTGGTTTGACAGCATAATCGTAGATTTATGTGTAGCTTTCAATTTTTATGAGTTCAGAATCCAGCAGCCCGCTGAATTATGGGATTTTTTATAATATAATTATTTGACAATCTTTTGTTGGCCAACCAGCTATAGCAGAATTGAGCCGAAATACATTATATTCCTATGTTCCGAATTTATTTCGTTCAATCTGTATGTGTCGCAAGATTTTTCTTTCGAAGGTGGCTAACAATGTTTCCTCTCTTTTAGTGAGTGTCCAGGTTTCTGAGCCGTGTCCTGAGTAAGTATCTTAATAAGACCGTGAGTACCGGTCTTATTAAGATTTTGTATCTTTGGCATTTTGTTTTTCTTGCGACGTTATCTGATCTTAGTTGCCTGATTAAGCCAGGATAACATTTATTGGCAATAAATATTCGCCTCTTCACTTCCTTCGTAACGCTATTATCAGACGTGACTAGGAATCCCAAGTATATGAAGTTTTTTAACCCCTCAATGTTGTATTCTCCTATTGTTATATTTTGTAGCTGCCTTATATCTGCGTTTTTACTTACTCATAGGCATATGTTTTGTTTTGGTCTGATTCATTTTAAGACCACTATTTTGTGCAGCTCGTTCTACTTGGTTGTATGCCTCCATCATTTTTCTCTTCTTGATCTTGCGATTATGGCAGCATCATTTGCAAATGCTAGTATTTGCACGCTTTTATTAATTATTGTTCCTCGAGTATTGACTGTTGTGTCCCTCAGTATTTTCTTGAGTACTATGTTAACCAAGATGCATGATAGAACGTCTCCATGGCGTAGTCCTTTTTTCACATCTATTGTTTCCGTTAATTTTACTTTTTACTTTTAGAGATTCTATTATCAGTTCTATTAGTTGTGTTGGTATATTAAATTATTTCATTACTTTTATTAAGAATTCTCGATTTATATTATTATCTCTCTCTCTCTTGTCGTTTCCTCATTGCTGAGGATCGTGATTCCCTACAATGCGGGCTGTCAATTCTCTCCATCTCTTGCGATTTTGGGCTGCTCTCATGGACTCGGAAAACGTCTCTCCAGTGGCTTTCTGTACTTGATCTGACCATCGGATAGGTGAGCGTCCTCGGCCTCTACGTCCTTCTACGTTTCCGCACACAATTAGTCTTTCTAAGTTGTCATTGTCTCTTCTCGCAATGTGGCCAAAAAACTTTAAAACATTTGCAAGACACTGAGAGGAGAGTCTGGTCTGAATGTTTAGCTCTTCGAGAATCGACTGATTGGATCTGTGCTCCGTCCACGAGACGCGTAGCATTCGTCTCCAGCACCACATTTT